GGGGGGGGGGTGTTGCGCGGGCGTGCGGGCGTGCGGGTGTGCTTGCTGACACACACTAGCATCGCGCTGCTGCGTGGATGGCCCCGCGCTGCCCATCGCCATCCAGCCGATGCATCATCATCCGATCTGGAGTCGCTGCAAGTGGCATTTGCACAAGTCGCTGCTGTTGTAGCACCAGGCAGCTCCTCGCTCATTGAAGAGACAGATATCAAAGCGTCATTGTGGCAAAACTACTTTGATGTGCAGGCTACGGTGGAGTGGGCGCTGAGGGAGAGCAAGCGCAGGCAAGCTAGGCAAAACAAAAAGGGTGAGTGGGGTGGGAGGGGCGCAGTGCAGTGCAGTGCAGTGCAGCGGGATGCGATGCAGTGTTCAGGCTGTTCAAGGCTCGGCGAGTGTTTTGTGAGCCTGTGCCATCGATCAAGTGGTGGCTGCTTTGCGGGGAGGGAGAGGTGTGGGGGCAGAGGGAGAAGGACGGAGCGCAGCGCAGCGCAGTGCAGTGCATGTCCACTCTGGCGAGTGGCCATCACCCTCGATCTGCTCGCACCACACTGCGCGCTTCTGCCGCACTTCGAGGTCAGAGCATCGCGAGGGCTGACTCGCTGCGATGCACGCCTCCCTCTCTCTCCTTCTCTGCCACCTCCAACCCGCCCCATTCGCAATCTCAGTTGATGATCCGCTTCGGGACGAGATGGACTTGGAGTCGAGCAGCAGCAGCAGCAGCAGCAGCAGCAGCACCATGCGACCATCTGTGCATCCCAGTGGGGCGATCCGAGGTCGAGGCATCGGCGGACTCGGCACGCGAGGTAGATCGGGCATGGCCAAGCGCGCACTCAGGGATCTGGCGCCCCTTGGCTTGCCTGGCCTTTCATCGCAGTCCCCTGATGCCAAGGCTGATCTGGCTCAGCAGCTCGAGGCGCAGCTCAGTGTGGCAGACGCTTCTCAGAGTCAAGGAGGCGCAGCAGGTAGCAAGCTGGCTCAGCTGGCAGTTGCCAGAAGAAACAAGCGACCTGCTGCTGCCACTCTCGACGCAAGCGGCTCCAGCGATGGACACACCGCCGCCGGCGCTGCTGCCAATGCACACGCACATGGCCCTGCAGCAGACACTGCCAGACCTAGCAAATTGGCTGCTCTAGCTGCTGCTCGAGCCACCAAGCCCTCCGCTGCTGCCGCAAGTGTACTCCCTCCTCGCGCAGCAGCAGCAGCAACTGCTGCGCCGATGACGGCTAGACCGCCCTCCAAGCTCCAACAGCGTGCTCAAGCTAGTCGAGAAGCAAAAGCTTCAGCTCAGAGCGCTCAGGGCGAGATAGAGGTGGTGGTGGAGAGCGAAGAGGTTCGAGCGGCGAGGCGGCGAGAGTTGGAGCAGAGTCGGACGCTGCCTTCGGGAGTGCGCAGCAGCCAGCTGTTTCCGATGCAGGAGGATGTGGAAGCGAGGCAGAGCAAAGAAGATGCGAATGGTCAGAGCCTCTCATCCGCCTTCGCATCTTTGATGGTCGGAGGCAAGCATGCCAAACCCGTTCCGAGCGCCTCGCCATTCGAACCGCTGCAGAGGTCATCGGAGAGAGCATCGCAGCTGCGCAACACCGCATTTGCCAAGCTCAGCCCCGATGAAGTGGTCCTGCAAGCCAGGCAAGGCTCTGCTTTGGATCCTACCGCGCACGCTGGCCATAGATGAGGATTTTGACTCGACTCGCAGCAGCGAAACCAGATGCGGGCAGTAAACAGTGCGCCGATCACCCTGTGCTGACGTGTGAGAAGCGCGATTCGCTTTTCGACAGCAGCATCCAGCGGATCCAAAGCACCTTCAGGAGCCAGCACGCCGAGCATCGCTGCCAAGACGCGCGCGACGGGATCAAACGGGCAGGTAGCAGCTGGATCGAGCGGCGAGAAGGCCTCTGCGGGATTGCGAAAAGCGGCAGCGGCGGGTGCGGCAATGGAGAGCAGCAAGACGAGCGATGGACAGGCGGAACAATTGAAAAGGAGGCTAAAAGATTTGGATCTGCAAGAGGGCGATGTGGACGAGCAACGCAGCGATGCTGGTAGCGATGTGGCGGTCAGACCGGTGGCGCACGAAAAGATTTTGGAAGAGTGGCGCGCAAAGGAAGCGGCGGATGGGAGGAGGAGCATGAGCTTGGTCGTTGTTGGTGAGTCGTCGATGCGTTCGCACGCGCGTAACTCAAGAGTCAGGCCAGGTGCCTGGGTCGGGAGCGCACGCTTACTTGCAAACCCGCGTGCAGGTCACGTCGATGCTGGCAAGTCGACATTGATGGGCCGACTGTTGCACGAGTTGGGATCGCTCACGGACAAAGCGTATCAAGCCAATGCTCGAGCATCCTCCAAAGCCGGCAAGGGTTCTTTTGCGTACGCATGGACGCTCGACTCGTCAGAGGAGGAGCGCAGTCGGGGAGTGACGATCGACATTGCTCACGACACTTTTGACACGCCTCATAGGCGGTTCGCGCTGCTCGACGCTCCGGGTCATCGAGATTTTATACCCAACATGATCTCGGGAGCAGCCATGGCCGATGCTGGGCTGCTCGTAGTGGACGCCAGCTTGGGTGCTTTCGAAGCCGGTTTTGGCGATAAGGGTCAGACGAGGGAGCATGCAGTCTTGCTGAGGAGCTTGGGCACGTCTCAGATCGTCGTCGCTGTCAACAAGCTAGATGCGGTAGCTTACGATCAGAACAGGTTTACCGAAATCGTCGACAAGGTGAAGAATTTTCTTGCTAGCATAGGCTTCGATACGGCTGGAGGAGAGGGAGCAAGCGGGGTCAGATTCGTGCCTTGTGGCGCTGCTATAGGAGAAAACCTTAGCCAGCGGAGCCAGAGCGGCGATCTCGCAAGGTGGTATCGAGGACCTACATTGGTGGAGGTGCTCGGTAAGCTCCAGTCGCAGTGGCGGCTGCAGGGCTCTCCTCGGACTCACACGTCTCGTCGCCCCGCAGATACCTTGACTCCACCGACGAGAACTATCGATGCGCCATTGCGCATACCAGTCACCAATGTCTTTAAATCTGGTCAAGTCACCGCAATCTCTTCTGGACTGGGTGTTGCGGGGCGGATCGTCTCTGGTCTCGTCTCGGTAGGCGATCGCCTTGCTGCGGTACCCGGTGACGAGACGGGCCTCGTCAAAGGTGCGTCGCATCGAGAACGCGTCGTCGAGGATCGTATCAACAGCTGATAGTGACGATGCGTAGCCATCGAGTTGGATGGCGATGCTGTGCCTTGGGCAGTTGCTGGATCGACAGTCACTTGCTTCCTGACTGGCATCGATCAAATTCACGTCAAGTGAGTCGTCACGACCCAGTGTCTTGATTTGCTTCCACCTCACACCACTTCTATTGCGTCCCAGCATCGGATCCGTCTTGTGCCCGCCAAACGCACCAGTACCTCTAGTCACCACGCTGCTTGTACGCCTGCTGGTCTTTGAGCCGTCGCTACCCCTCATGTCGGGCACCTCGCTCGAGCTTTTTCACCACTCTTCCAACATTCCTTGCACCATCACTTCGCTAGAACGAACGATAGATGCAAAGAGCGGATCGACGCTCAAGGCGAAGCCCAGGGTGCTTTCGAGAGGCAGCACAGCCGAGGTCAGAATCAGCATCACGCCGACCCAAACGAGCAGAGGGTCTAGCGCTGGTGTGCCCATCGAAATCTTTGCAAAGAGCAGGGATATGGGCAGAGTGGTGCTCAGGCTTGCTGGAGAGAGCGTCGCTGCTGGCGTGGTCCTCGAAGCCGCGTAATCGTCGCATCGCGCACACTGCCCGCACACGATAGCAATCACTCAATGCATCACATTTCGACGGGGAGGGCGTGCCACTTGACTCGTGGTGGGCCTGATCGCTCGCATCGCGCTGACTGTTCATTTGGAATACGCCTTGAGGATGTCCGAGAACCACTGATCGAACTGCTCAACGTTGTGCCCCACTTCGATTTTGCTTTCCCACTTGTCGGAGCTGATCGCGGGGAAGCGGGGGGGCGAGATTGAAAGGGCATGGCATGAGCGAGTCGCGAGCAGCGAGCAAGTGGGACAGACTTGACTGGCACTGGGGGCTTTGTCAGTCCACTCACAGTCGTCCAAAGAGCTTTGGCCAAGCATCTTTCCAAGCAGATCGGATCTGCGTCACACCACCGACGATTTGGCTCTGCACCTCGAGCTTGTTTGCGCGCTCCACGAACAAGCTCTCGGTGAGCACGTGATGGAATTGCTGGTAGACGAGAAAAGTCCAGTTGCCGGTAAAGGCGCGATCGGCATCGTCTGGTTGGAAAATGTAGCCGCGGTTCTCTGCTAGAGATCCCGCGTATCCTATACCCTGTATGGCGTTTCGCAGATCCTCGAGCGGCTGCTTGGGCAGCGTGACTTTGCGTGCTCTGGCCAAAGGGGAAGAAATGAAAAGAAAAGGATTCAGAGGTGAGTGGGTTGGTCGCCTGCAGCGCAGCACCTTTCTCGCTCGCTCACTCAGGGCTGGCCTTGTACACCGTGTCGGCCCAAGAGTTTCCCGTGCCGGATACAAGGGTCTGGGTGGAATTCTTGAGGTAGGCGCCGAGCTGACTGGCTGGGTCGAGCAGAGCCTTGCGTAGTGCCGCATCGTAGTCACCTGGCTGCTGCGCAGGCGGAAGGGCTACGATGAGCGGTGCAGCTGCGAGCATGACGCAGGCAAGCAGAGACTTGACGCGGCATTGCATGATGAAGTCAAGTCTGTGCTGCTAGAGATGGTATCCTGTGTGCAGACAGACGGTAGAGTGCAGAGTCGCGAGAAAATGGCAGGAGAAGCTTGTGCAGATCGTGATTTGCAATTGCCATGCTGACCGCTGCTTATGTAGGCACACCCACGACGCGCAATGTGCATCGTGGTGTCAACGGTGCGACTGGCATTCACGATTGCCAAGTCGTCGTATGGGTGACGGGGTGGCGTTGTAGCTGCGTAGACAGACAATTTGATGGATAATTTGTGCTCTGTCCGAGGGCCATTAGCTGTCGCAATGCCCAAAATTGTATGACGTGATGGGGTGGTGGAGGCCTGAGTGGGCAATTTAAAGAGGCACGATTTGCAAGCGTCATCGACATGCATTACACTCAAACACTCAGACTGCCACCGCCAGTACCACTGCAACTAATTGTGATTGCACCTCACACAGACACACACACGCACGCACAAATGTCCTGTATCTTGCACGCTGAGCACTTGTCCTCTTCTATGCGCTACGAATACGTCAAGCTAAGCTGCCCAAGCCGGATTTGGCGATCCTGCGGACGCGCACCGTATCGTTGCACTGCCACAAACGTCTGCGGCGGCGGAGATGGCTCGTTTGGGCGCCAGGCTGACCGGACCGGCTGACAGGCAGGTTGCCAAGAGGCGACCGTGCTTACAAAAGTATCCGAAAGCAAGTCAAGTCAGTCGGTCCCGCTCAAGGGCATATACCGTATATCATTGCCGCTGTGCATAGCACCAGTCAGGAATCGTGAATCACGAGGCACATGCTCGCCAGCCATGCATTCGTGATTTGCGTGTGTAGAAATAATCTTGAATTTGAATATGGGCGCGAACGCTACTCGGCAATACAATCACGTGATGTGGATTGGGGCGCGTCAGAGAAGGGTCACGTGCAACTCAAACTCGCGATTTGTCTGCGGGTTGATGCAACAGAATCAAGAATCGCGTGTGCGAAACCGAGGGGGATGCTTGCAACGACGACGTCGACGATGACGACGACTACGACACCCATCATTCGATTGGTCACCGCGCCTACCTGCACCCGCACCTTCCTTTTGACGTTGCGTCTCTAGCACTCCACTCCAACTGCTTTCTGCGTTCGGATCATCCATGATCTCACATGGCCACAATGTCAGCTGATGAGGTGCAGCCAAGGGCAGCAGAGGGACAGGAGAGTCAGGCTGGACAGCGGCAAGATGCACCTGCACCTGCACCTGCACCTGCCAGCGCAGCTCCACCCGCATCAGCATCAGCATCAGCGCCAACATCGACACAAACACCAACACCACCACCACCACCACCACCAGCACCAGCAAGCAGGCAGGATCCGCTGACGACGCTGGAGCGGACATTGGCGCTGATGCTCAAGATCGCCACCGCTTCCATCTCCTACATTCCAGGTCACTCTTTGCCTGTAGAGCTGGATGCCCGTATTGGCGTCTCTGCAGCACCGCATCACGTGGGCGAGCACAGGGTAGGACCGCAAGCCATGTCGGAGAGCGTGGATGAGCTGCAAGAGGATCTGGTAGAGGCTGCTCAGAGGTTCAAAGAGTGCCTTGACAGCCATGCCATGCAGCAGCTAGTGGCAGGCAGCGGCGGCAGCGGGGCGAGCGAGGATGAGGAAGAGGAGGTGGACAAGGCGAGGGATGGGCAGCAACTTGCAGAACTGGATGCGGAGATGAGATTGGCCAATGAGCACTTTGCTCGCGTCACGCTGGCAGCAGGTGAGTTGACATTCACGATTTTTGCAAGACTTGCTTTGCATCCCACCTTGCTCACCCAAGCCATGGCAACGTCACGTGCACAGATGAACAGCTGCAACAGCAAAAGAGATTGCTGCAACACTTGTCGCGCCAACACGCAGCTGCTCGAGCCGAATTGGCACGCCAAGCAGCTTAGTTGAGCTGCTAGCCGCATGAATGGAACACTCTCCGCCCCGCCCCGCCCCGCCCCGCTGATCCCAGCGCTCAGCGCGTCTCGCATCTCTGCCCTGACATTACAGGTCAACATCAGCCGGACAAGTACCGCACACAAGCACCACGCGCAGACAGCAGATAGGCCAATGCAGGGTGTTGAAAGTGCATCATTCTCCATTGCCTCACACGTTCGCATGGCACCACACTGTGCGGCGCGCGTCAACCTTCAAACCTCGAAAACACTCCCGGCAGCGCACTCGGTGCATATCGCAGCCCATACTGCCACCTCAACCACTCCCATCCCACTTCGAGGCAGCCAAGCCAAGCCCATTCGCTTCATGCATGCGCAGCGGCATCCGCATGATGAATGTACAGCTTGTCGCGGTCAGCCTCCGACAGCTTGTTGATGTACTTTTGCGCCTGCGCCCTCGTCGGGCGCTTATCCAGCCCCTTCTTGTGCATGGGCGTCTTTTTGACGTGATACACACCCATCCTGGGCGTCACGGCTCCCGGCGGAATGTCGATCTGCGCTAGCAGCTTGCCCTTCTTGTACGGCAAGAACACCCTGTTCTCCATCTCCAAGTCGTGCACCACTGGCACGCGCGGTGCTTTGCCGTTGACTCTGTATAGCTCCAACTTGGCGCCTCTTGCGACGCCAAGGGCGTCCGTGTGCGGGGCCACAAAGCGCCACTTGGTGTGCGGGTGGATCACCTTGTGTGCTGCTCGAAGAGAAGCGTCGGTGCGCCCATACCATGAAGTGACGTATTCGTGTGCAGCCGAATTCTTGTGTAGGCTTTCATTCTCCGCTGCCGTCTCGTGGTAGAGTGGATGCGGCGAGCTTAGCGACCAACGGGCGTGGCCGAGCGGGGCAGGAGCCACGGGAAGGTCGATGGTCGAAGAAGAGCCAAAGGAGTCGAAAGAAGAAGAGGAACCCGACGAGCGAGATGATCTCGTGCTCGAATTCTATTTCACGACAATGACGCAGCGCGCTTTCACACGTCAGCCGTCTCTTTTGCCCTTTTTGCGATGATGCGACGGTGCACTACTCACTCTACTCAATCGGCCCAACGAAGCACCGTAGATGTCTGGCTCGCCAGAAAAGGTGACGCGCCGCACGCGATCCAGCGTCGAATCGATGCGTGGAGGAAGCGCACAGGCGCCATGAGCCAGCATCAGGATGAGCAAGCAGGACACAAGCTTCTGGGCGGACATGTTGTTCGACACTTTGCGCTGCGCGGCACAGGTGTGCATCGTCAAAGGGGCGGCTTCTTGCAAAATGCACAGCAAACGCAGGCTCTGACCAGCAGCAGCCTCAAAGAGAAGTGGATGGGTGCAGTGAAGCGATGGATGGTTCTTTCTGCAACGTTGGATATTATAGCCTTGCCGCTTGTTCCTGCAAACGGACCCCTTCGCTACTTTCGTCGTCGCACAAGACGCTGTCCCTTTGCGCGACGGGCTTTGCGAGTCGCCTTGCGTCGCAAAGTTGAGCGTCTGTGGCGGGCAAGCTGACAGCTTGGCCCGTTCTCTCACGCTCCGTCTCGCGCACAGGACCTTCACTGCGAATTGACAGAGGCCACTGGTCGCTTGCAGAGCGCAAACATTGCCCAACATCGCTCCAAAGCGCGTATCGCCGCGATTCAGAAGCGACCATTCTGTTTGCAAAGGTCGCTACGAGTTTAGGGTTTCTGACCGGCCAGCGCAAGCAAAGCAACGGAGAACGGCCAGGCACTCCATTCACAGCAACGCGTGCGCCCCGACGGAAAGAGGAGACGCGTGCAACAGACCACTGCATGGCTTCGAGTAGGCAGTCTGGATGGGCGGAATGGCGATCAACCGAATGTGCTGCCAGCCTTTTGGCCGACCGTAATCATAACATTGCCTCTCGGCCAGGCAAACCCCCAAACATGTCGGCGCGTCAAGATGTGCGTGTCTCGCTGCTGTTCCTGCGGCTGGCCGTGCACGGCTCTCTCCTCGCCGAAATGCCATGATTGGTCCTTCGTGCTGTCAAGCAGGCGAGAATTACATCGATTGCCCTCTTTGATGCTTTTGAAAACAAGTTTCTCACCTGGTCTCTAGACACCGACAGACTTGGTGTATGTGGTCGTGAAAGACTGGATGACCTTTGTATAATCAAGATCGTCTGCTTTTGCCGTCAGTCGCACCCATACCATCCATCGGTAGATTGGGCGCCGCCTGCACATCTTGATGGCGTGGGTATGACAATTCATACATTGTGATTGGCCCGGCTGGCGTGAGCCTTGATAAACAACCAGACTCTGCTTCAAGCGGCACTTCTTCTTGCGAACATTCTACCCAGACCTCTGACGAATCGCGGCGTCAAGAAGAGTGACAAAGGTAGCCTCACCGGGAGTAGCATCTGGATCGGACCCGTTCGACCCCATTGCTCGTCAGCACACAATGCGAGGATGGCACTCACGACTAACTTTTGGCGCGCTCGCAACTCACCTTGACTGAACACGCGCGTTGTCGAGAAGGCACCAAGAGATCATTGTAGACATGAGCTCGAGCCCAACAGCGCGACCGATACACTGCACACTCACCCACGACCCAAGCAGCAAAAGCATCACGGACCTGCGTGATGCGAATGTTGCCAGCGATGCCTCTAGCTTGAGTAGATATACTCCCGCCCAGCGCCGTGCCCCACGATTTTGCACCTGCGCCATCGCCTGCGCCATCGCCGCCTCCTCCTCTGCCCTTGAGCTCATCCATGGCCCGCTGAGACTCCTGATCCGTGCCTGTTCCGCTTGGCCCCTGTGCCGAAGCTCGAAAGTCGCTGATGAGGCGAATGAGGCCACCTCCAGCTCCCCAAGCGCCGCTAGCCAGCTTGCCCACCTCGAGCTCGAGCAGGTCCTCGACGGTAGCTCGACGTCCGCGCCTCTCCAACCTGCGACGCATGATCTCCTGCTTGGATTGAATCTCTTGTCCCTCCTCCGTCAAAGCTGGGCTCTTGCTTGGCGCAGAGCCTAGCCCCACAGCATTGGCCATCCACGCTGGCAGAGGACGGGAGAGGATCCAGGCAGCTTGCGGACCTGCTAGCATGCTATTGCCCAGACCTGCCGAGTGCACGGCCCAGTAAGCGGGAAGGAGGAGCACTTGGCTGATGCCCACATGCAGGACCACCAAGGCCAGAGCATGCTTGAAGGGAGCTGCACGAACTGCTGCCAAACCATATTGGGGCGGAGCGGGTGAAGCGGCGGGCTTGGGATTAGGGGTGGCGGTGGAGTAGAGACGTTGGGCAAGCCGAGGTGCGAGGCCCGTGCAAAGGGCTGGGCCAGTCAAAGAGGCGAGTGAAGGGGCGGGAATGGTGGCAGAGCATGGAGCGGAGCTGGTGGGCACATGGAGCGAGTAGATGCGTGGCGCTATGCGTAGATGGGATGGATGCGGCAAAGGATGCAGACGGCGAGAGGCGTTGATGGCATGACTGGCCAAGGCAGATGTGGACGTGGGCCATGCGTCTGCTACACTCGAGGTGGTGAGGTGCATGGCGAGAAGAAGTGCGGGCAAAGGAGGGATGTATCTACTGACGAGTGGGCATGAGAGATGACAGCACAAGCGTTGCGACGAGCCTGTGATCGGGTTTCGTTGTGGCGATGAAGCTGGGTTGTGAGTAGCGCACGGCAATCAGAAGTGTGAGTGTCAACTCTCCGCAGGCTAAAGGTTGGGGTCCGTGTTGAGATGAACAGCATTCACATTCCCATTCGCGATTGACGATTCATGCTGAGAAGAAGCTTCCCACGGATGGAATCACGAATGAGATCCGAGCGCATGCATGCATGACATGACGTGCATGTGCCGCTTGAGGGGAGCGAGCAAGCAAGCAGCAGCCAAGAAGTGTGAGTGTGAGTGTGAGTGTGAGTGTGAGTGTGAGTGTGAGTGTGAGTGCACAAGTTGCAAGTTTGAGTCAGACTCACCAAGAAGTCGTTGAGGGATAAGCACGACGATTGAGTCTGAGACAAGTTCGATCCACGTCGAGCAGGCGCCTTGCAGCCAGCCAGCCAGCCAGCCAGCCAGCCAGCATGTCCGCCGCCAAAGTGTCGCCCCTGCACGCATTGGGCCACACTTCCACCTCGCAAGCCTTTCTGAGCCTGCTGCGATCCCTGGGCTGCCATGACGACGTGTTGGAGAAGCGCACATTCTACGCGCCAGCACCAGCACCAGCACCAGCACCAGCACCAGCACCAACCACTGCTTATTGGACCTTCGCAGCGCTTCCAAACACGGTCTGCTGGCAGTTGCAGCAGCGGCAGCCGGGCGAGTCAGAGTGGCGTTGCGTCGCCGTCGATGTGTACAATATCCAGCGCGGCCCTTTAGCGACGACGGCAAGAGGATGGAGCGCAGGCGAGCTTTGCTCTCCTACCATCCTCGACTTGCGCTTCGACCTCCTCCTCCCCAAGCAGTCCGATCGCGGCGACGATCAGTCAGCATCGCCATCGCACTCGCACTCGCACATGCACGATGATGACAACGACGATCCCCGTTTGACCTGCATCACCATACAAATCGAAATGGCAGGTGCCGAGAGCAAAGGTGCCAGCAGATGGCAAAAGGACAAGGCTGGAGCGGCAATCTGGGGCGTGTGCACCTTTGCATTAGCCTGACCTGACCTGACCTGACGTGATCTCAACCTTTCTCGACTCTTCACTTCCGTCTTGGAGGGACAAGCAGAATTTTGTTTGCTTTCGCCCCCTGTCTGTCCCGCATGACTCACGACTGTTGCGGGGCTCGTGCTGCTGCTTATCGCTGGCCCGTAGCCAGTCGAGCACTCACAACGCAATGAGACGTGTGCAAGTCGATCACGAATGGCGAGGTCACACGCTCTGACGCTCCCATACAGGAGACAGGGAGACACACACGACACGAACAGCGCATCCGGATGACCTGCCTCATCTCGCCTATCGCCTACCATTACGCCAGCTTGCGACGGCATTACAGCCCTTTGCACGGACCGCCGCGCATGTTCCGTTCAGCCGTTCTTCACGCTCGTGACGCCCGCGCTTGGGCCCCTCGGCCTCGCCGCACCTTGCATCGCCATCTCACTCGCGATACGCGCACATTCAGCGCCACAAGTATGCTTGCTGCGTTCGATCGTTTCTGGTTCTGCATGCGCACGGTGACCCACAAGGCAAATCGACTCGCAGCCGCGAAGCGTCGTGGGGACGGCGGCTTACAAGACACTGCGTTATTGGGAAGCTTCCTGGGCCGGACGCCGCGATGTCAACCCTCGACGCTCGGTTCTCCCCCCTCGGCCATTCATCAGCAAAGCCCACGCGATGACGCAACGTCAAAATACACTCGAGCAATCAGCGATCTGACCACAGGCTTCTACATGCCGTCAGCACCCAAAGCCGCCGTCGTGTAGAATCATCAAAAAGGCGATCCACACAAACCAGCCGGTTCTGTCGTTTCAGTACTTAAGTGCCATTTCACGCGCTGCAACCCTCCAAAGCCCCTCTCCTTGTCATCGCAAACGCCTCATGTCGTTCACTCAGACTGCCCAACACCTCCAAGCTCCCACCCCGCACCTGTGCAAAATGTCTGGACTCGCTCATCAATCATGTGAGTGAAGTGGACCTTTGTATCCGTATCCACTCGCTCTCCTCATCTCAATTGACCGCTTCCCGCCCCTCACGTCGTTGACGACTACCCTTTGCCTCTCACCGTGTCTCTGCGCTACTTAGCCAATTTGTCTCCCAAGGGATTGCGGCGCCAGCCCAGTGCGTAGCTCCCGCTATCCCATTCGACGTTTCGATCGATCGACTGACGCCGATCAATTGGTCCGCACCCCAGCAAGTCTCTCGCGTACAGCCTCGTCAGGTGCGCTTGGGTCCGCGGACCCGATTGAGCAGTTGGAGGGTGAGTGCGACGTATACAAATCACAAATCACCGCTTTTCCTGGGCTTAATCTCTTACATTTGCCTTGCCTCAGCCTCACTGCCAAAGGTCATGCGTGTCAACACCGAAGTAGAGAAAGCGCCCGTCATCGACGAGGACGGATACTTGAATATGTTGGAGAAGCGCCTGTCAATGAAGGTGGGATGAATGACGGCAGGGCGGAGCTGCAAGAGCCTCGCACTGACATACCTTTCACGTGATTGCTGGCATCAGAACATTGGCGTCATCATCGTCAGCGAGCTACTCGGAACCATTTTGTGAGCTCCCATCGCTTCTAGCTCGTGCGTGATACTGCTCAAGTCGCACTCACCAAGTCGGTCTTGCAGGTTCCTTTTCTTCGCCTTCTTCGCCGCAACGCAGGCATCGAATCGCGGAAACGCTATGAAAGAGGAGTTTCCCACCGCACCTCTCGACACTTCTGGGCTGCTCTTCTCGTCCCTCGGATTTGGTTTCTCGCTTGCTGTCAACGCTTGGCTCTTCTTTCGCATTTCTGGCGGCCTCTTCAATCCAGCGGTCACTCTCGCACTGACGCTGACTGGCACCCTCTCAGCGTTCCGCTGCGTTATCCTGACCATCACTCAATTCGTCGGTGGTATTCTTGCAGCTCTTTTGGTTACCGCACTCGTACCTGGCCCCATCAACGCACGCACGACACTTGGAAGCGGCGTTACAGTCGCGCAGGGCTTCTGGATTGAGTTCTTTTGCACCGCAGAGCTCGTCTTCGCCATCTTCATGCTTGCAGGTACGTCGAGCGCGCGAATTCTGGTGCACATGAGTCAAAACCTCGGCGCTCATCTCCTCTCTCGTGATCGGCGCAGGCGAAAAGCACAAAGGCACGTTCCTTGCTCCGGTCGGTGAGTGACCAAAACACGTCAACCAGGATCCGCGCGTGCTCGAGACTCATCTTCTTCCTTCATTCACCAGGCATCGGCCTTGCTCTATTCATTGCGGAGATTGCCGCTACGAACTATACAGGAGGCTCCTTGAACCCTGCTCGATCGCTCGGTCCTGACGTGGTAACCAGGACTTTTGAAGGATCATGCTGGATATACTACATCGCTCCTTACTTTGCCGCCATCGTCACCTCTGGCTTCTATTGGGCCTTGAAATGGATGCGCTACGAGACGGCAAACCCTGACCAGGACGCGGCTCAGGAGGAAGAGCGCAAATCCTTCATTCGCGACATGGTCAGTCCCGCGTCCGCTTCGTCACTTGCGTACAATCAAATCTAACTTTGTCCCACATTTCTGCAGAATGGCAATATCATCGGCGAGCTCGACTCTGTTCCACTCAAGGACTGGGCCTCGTTGCAAGATGTTGTCATTGACGCAGCATTGCCACAAGATGGTCCTTACGGCGCTCAACATGTCGTGCCCGGTATCTCACACAAGGCGAGCGAGGCCGACACCTTGGGCGTCACCACAGACAGCAACGGCTTCGTGCCAGGCTCCAGACAAAACATTCCTCCAGTGCCACCCCTTCCATCTGATTCTCGTCGACTCTATCAACAAGACCGCACCAATGCCTGGGCTGGCCCCGTTGCCCAGTGAAGACCTCTTCACGGCGCTCCTACCTGTAGTGAGCCTTCATCACACGCTAGATGCCAATTCCAGCGTCTCATTTGCCAAGATTCTCGCACAAGGCTCTTGTTTTGTACACTTTCTCTTGTTCCTTCTGTGCTCTGTATATACGTCCTTAGCTCCGCGAGCGCTTCCATCGTTGAGTTTGTTCGCAAATGTGCCGGTCCTGCAATCCAGCTTTTATAATCCGACTTTCAAGTTCGTGAGCAGTTTGTGCAGCTTCCATAATAAGGGCGTAGCACGTCGTTCGGGAAAAGACAGCCTCGGCTAGGGCCATTCGAG